TATTAATCGGCTTGACAGTATTCTGGGGTGTCACACTGTAGAAGGGCTTTTGTAAGTTTAAAGTAAATACTTTTTCGTTTCTGATTTCGGGGTGTGTGTGTGTCTGTTTTTGGTAAAGATACATGGTTAACTTTTTAAAACTTTCAGTTGGTAGTTATAAAAGTAAACTCCTTCTCCCTGGACCCCTGCCCCCCATAAAAGAGAGAGAAAGAAAGTAAGAAATTGGCATATGCCTACCCTGACATTTTCTTCTCTGTGGCAATTAAAACTGTTCGAGAAATCCTTAGACTTTAGGGGCGCCTGGGTGCCTCAGTCATTTTAGCCTCTGACTCTTGATTTCAGCTTAGGTCACGATCTCCTGGTTCGTGGGATCAAGCCCTGCATAGAACTCTGTACTTAGAGTGGAGCCTGCTTAAGATTCTCTCTCTGCCCTTCCCCCCTCGTGTTCGTTCTCTCTCTCTCTCTCTCTCTCTCACATAAACATTAAAACACATTCTTTACACTTTAGTTAGTTCTCTCTTGATTTTTTTTCTTCTTGGGTTAATGTGGCTAACTTGGTTTCATCACTTCTGTGAGTTTTGATTGTATTTCGTGCCTCCTGTCATCAAACTGTGCATACAGCATTACATAGGCATGTAATGAAAATAGGCCTGCCGTGGGGGGATTCACATGAGTCATTTGATATAGTTAATCTGGGCCACTCTGATATATCACAGTTCTGGCCGTGACTTAGCCAAATATAGTTTTAGGCCTTCAAAGTATTTGTTTCTCTTACCCAGTTGAGCATTGGGGTTTTTATTGGCATTCTTCCCATCTGCACGTGAGGAAGCCACATAGTTAAAATTTTTGAATAAGTGACGGCTCCTGCTTTGAACGTACTATTTAACTCCTTAGTAATAAAAGTGTGCTGTAGACGGAGTGGGCGACGAACGTCTGGGTAGTGTAGCACGGTGGCTCGCTGCAAGCTGATGAGTTCAGAATTTGGATCCTGTAAATACCTTATCAACCTTGAGCCTCAGGTTCTGCTTCTGTGAAATGAGCAGGGGGACTGTGGGGAGAATCATCTCTTTCTTTTCCACATTCCTTTGCAGGGTTCAGTAAAGAGCTCTGAAGACTAGGAAGTGAGCCGGGGCTCCCTGAAGGGTGAAGTCTTAATGCTAGGCCGTGAAGGCAGGCTGAGATGTTATTCATTGGAGTGGATTAGAAAAGGCATAGCAGGTGTGGGAGCCAGTTGAGCACAGGACTTTGAAAGCATGTACAGAGAGGGGACTTGAGGAAAGCAGTGCATAAAAAAGTGTGTCAGAAGTCTAGAAGGACAGTCTGGAATGCAAGGGAGTAGGAGGAAGATATTATAATCCAGGCATGAGGTGTTGAGAGTACAGGTGAGGATAATTGCCCAGGGAGTTGTGGGGAAAGGGCAGCTACAAGGGCATATCCAGGAAGAATCCTCAGGGCTGGTGTGTGGTGCTGTGGATGAGAGGAATTGCAAGGGTGTAAGGCAGGCGAGAACTGTGTCATTCATTCATTCATTCATTCATTCATTCATTCATTCTTAAGATACTGAAATTGACAGTCTGCTGCTCCAAGGTTCTGTTCTAGGTATTGGGGACTGATCCCTAAATAAAACAGAAGTTCCTGCTCTTTTGAAGTGTATTTTCTAGTGTTAATTGTGTTAAAATTTTAGTGGCAGCAATTTTGGCACCTTGAGATGTCATTATCTAGCTCATGATTCTTTTATCCTGTCTAAAAGTCAACTGGGAAATGTCGATTTAAGCATATCCAATATCTTCAGGAAATCAATAGACAGTATTTTTATGTTTCAGGACTGTAAAGATACGAATGGAACTGTTAAACTGAAAATGCTGTATTTTACTGATCAAAGGAGGTGGGGCTACTATACATTTAGTAATTTGCCTCATAGTTTATACATTTCAGGGAATGTCATGAAGTTGGGACACCTAGGGACTTGTTGAGTTGTCAAAGGTTCCTTTGGTAAGCTTTTAGTGGCGTTAAAATTAGGTTCATTCACTAACCAGGAGGAAGTAATTAGATTGAACAAGACTTTAGTACTTGATGGCTTTTTTCCAACAGATTTTGTCAGCTTATTTTTGAATGAGTGCTGTGATATTTTAGTTTTCAGCCTCAATTTTCCTCAGTTCTTTAAGGTGAAAAAATTTTAAGCTAATACCAGATAACTCCTTGACAAAAAATGTTGACATAAGAAATAAAGAGGCTTAAAAACCAGAATATAATTTTTCATGGTGTTTTGAAAGCTTGAATTAGAAGAACATTTTATAATTAAAACTATGGTGCATTTAAATATTCATTTAGTTTGGAGAACTTTCCTTGTACTTAGTTGTATTTCATAGTGTTTTTATGGTAACCACAGTTAATCTGCTATAGAAATAGAGCATAAGAATTACTCATAATTCTTTTTTTTAATGTTTGTTTATTTTTGAGAGAAAAAGACAGAGAGAGAGAGGGCGGGGGGAGAGACAGAGATTGAGAGGAGGATGGGCAGAGAGAGGGAGACACAGAATCCTAAGCAGGCTCCAGGCTCTGAGCTGTCAGCACAGAGCCTGATGTGGGGCTCTTAATCCCTCTTACTCAGTTTGTAGCATGCGCCCTGAAAGAGCACCTACTTTTCAGGAGAGAGGGAGAGAGAGAATCCCAAGCAGGATCTACACTGTCTGCACAGAGCCCCATGTGGAGCTTGAACTCACAAACCGTAAGATCATGACCTGAGCTCAAGTTGGATGCTCGACCAACTGAGCTGAGCCCCCCCCAGGTGCTCCTACTCATAGTTCTTAATGAAGGAAATAAAGAGCTTTGGGCTTTATAGTACTGATAAGATTTTATGCAATAAAGGAGTGTTAAAAATATTCTAGAAACATGGTTAAGTTTCTTAACTGATATATGTATGTTACCTTGCAGTATCTGATTTTCTCAGTTTAAGATAATCAAATCTTTTTTTCTTATGAATGACTTGATTTTTAAAAAATTTCCTTTAGGTAAAAGTGCAGTTTTAAAATGTCTACTGGATGTTCACAAAATTTTTCAGGAAAATGACCCAGCTTACATTCTGAATGATCTCTACATCTCAGACTACTGTGTGTGGATTCAGAAAGCCAAGTAAGTTTTGAGTTACTTACGAATTTTACATGCCCCCATTTCTGGAATACCTCCTGACCCAGGAGGAAGAAAATGAAATAGCCTGTGAGACAAGTTGTAATGAAAAAGAATACCCCATCTAGATACCAAATGCTTTAAAAAGTGACTAGGTCAACATGGGAAGCTTGGCGAATTGGCTTTGGGAAAGGTACAGATGGTAAAAATTTTACTGGAAAACATGGTTATAGCCTAGAAAGTAGATGTGAGAACAGACAGTTCTGATTGGTTGTGGCTATGCTATTGACTGTCCAATATGAAATCTCAAGATTTCATACGTGGGTGTCCAGACTTGTGTCTTTGGTGTACTCACAGTGGGCTGTGAGTGTGTGTGTATGCATGTGGGGGCACCTTGTGCAAACTCCATTAAGGCACCAGCCTAATCAGCCGTCATCCTGGTGAGAGTTGTGCACTCATTGGCAAACCACTGGCTTACAGAATCTGTTACACAGAGTATAAAAAGTACAACCTTCAATGCTTCATGTGATGATTCTTGGTAACACAGGTATCTACGGGTCTGAACTGTCACAAATAGGCTCCTTGCACCTGGTATGTAAGATTTTAAAAAAGCGTTTACCATTTCCTCCCTCAGAGAGGGAGTTTAATAAGTTTATTAAGTTTAAAAGGAGGTGAGCTTTTAGGGTGCCTGGGTGGCTCATTTGGTTAGGCATCCAACTCTTGACTTCGGCTCAGGTCATGATCTCATGGTTCATGAGTTTGAGCCCTGCATCTGGCTCACTGCTGTCAGTGCAGAGCCCACTTTGGATCCTCTGTTTCCTGTCTCTCACTGCCCCTCCCCTACTTGCTTCCTGTCTCTGTCTTAAATAAAAATAAACTTAAAAACTGAACTTTTCTCTTGTGAAGAGGTTCAACAGACATATGCAAATTAACCATTTCAGTAGCAGGAGACGATTAACTGAGAGCATACAAACAGAGCTGTTGATGAGAACGCTTCTTACGGGTTATGGGGAATGGTGGCACAGTATCACTCGTGACTTAGAAGAAAAACAGCCACGATAGTTGTACTGTTGCTGTGATGGTAAATGAGTGCTTTAGCATGCCTTTAATGCCTGTTTTGAGTGAGCCATTATATAGAATTCACTTTTGGCCTCTTTTCATGGGGAAGCAGCCCTAATGCCGAGTGAGATGAGAAAACCTTGTGGCCATACCTGTGGTCGGGAAAAGCTGACGGTCTGCTCAGCATAACGCCTAATACCATACAGCAGGTGGTGTGGGGTCTGTGGTGGAAATCTCAGTGGCTCCAGATGGAGAATTGCATCTTTGACCCCTGAGGTCATCATGGCGTGTCATCACTCCCGTTTGATCCTCCTGCTAATTGAGCTTGTCAGGTACCCTGCTGCCATTTCCTGTTGTTTTCATAATAAAATTAAATTGAAATAGTCTATTTGTGTGGGTTTAGATTTTTCTTGTTCCCTTCAGGGTGAGGATTTTATAAACATGCAGTGAGCACTGAGGTTTGTTGTGAGGATCCCATTTCTAGGAGTGCCTCCTTTCTCTATGGCATTCCTCATTAACTAGAGAAAAGATTGTGTTCCATTAAAGTAGAAGGGCGTGTGCCCCTGTGTGCATGTGGGGATTACCACACCTCCTTGCGCTTAAAAAATCCTTTTTCCCTTGGTTTTAAGTTGCAGGAAATGAAATGAAATTCTTATCTTCCTAATAATTGTTATGATAATACTAATTTTTTCAAAGAGATAATGGATTGGGAAATGAGACAGGAGAGGGATACCAGCAGGAGTCTTCAAATTACTTTTTTTTTTTTTTTTAATGTTTATTTATTTTGAGAGAGGTGGGGAGAGACAGCCAAGCAGACAGAGAATCTCAAGCAGGCCCTGAACTGACAGCACGGAGCCCGACGTGGGGCTTGAACCCATGAACCTTGAGATCATGAACTGAGCCAAAATCAAGAGTCTGATGCTAATTGACTGAGCCACCCAGGTGCCCCTCTTCAGATTACTTTGGAAAAGAATTTTTTTATTATTATTTATTTATTATTTGAGAGAGTGTGAATGGGGGAGGGGCAAAGACAGAGGGAGACACAGAGTCCGAAGCAGACTCCAGGCTCTGGGTGGTCAGCACAGAGCCCAATGCAGTGCTTGAACTCACGGATCGTGAGATTGTGACCTGAGCCGAAGTCTGATGTTGAGCCAACTGAGCCACCCAGGCACCCTAGAAAAATTTTTTGGACTTGACCAATTTGACCATAACTTTCCTTTCCCTAAACAGGCTGTATTGGTTTCACTTTGTGTGTTACATTTTAACTCTAGTTGAATCTGGCTATTTTTTTCTTTCTCTTGAAATAATACATTTGTTCATTTACCTGATTTTTATTCAGTTTTCTGATTTAATCCTTAATTTTTCAAGCGTAACATAATTGAGGTTCCATGGTCATCTTTACCCTGAACTGTCTTGGCTCTAAATCATTATGCTATAGTGAATGTTCATGATTTCCATAACTAATTTCTTCTTCACCATTCATCTTCTGGTTTATTTCTTTCCCATAGGGTTTATCAGTGAGATCTTGCACCCTGTTTTTATGTTTTAAAATAGTTCTGTATTTTCTTTAATTTCTATTCGATGATTTTGATTATAAAGACTGAAATTTTATTTACAATATCAGACAAGTGCTAAATTCTAATGAACACAAAGAACAGCATTTCATTTTTATAGTCTGACATTAACTTTGGCAAAAACTTGTTGGAATTGGGTTGCGAAGTCATTCTTATATTCAATTAATGAAGTTAGGATAACAGTTATCCTGCATCTTGCTTTATACTGTGTAGTTCTTTTTCCTTGTGATGCCTGTGTCTTGTAGAGCATATTTGCAGATTTTCAAAACTGAAGGTCCTATATTCTTATTCTGGGTTAAAGTCTGCAAATTATTTTTCTGAAAAGGAACACCCCCTGCCATCCTTCACCGTAAGTGTCATTGGAAGTTTCGAGAATGGTGGTCACTGCAGCAAATGCTCCCTGGGTGGCAGCATGAGGAAGTGATTTGCTTGAAGTCATGTAGCATCTCTGAGATAGGTGTGTGATAGTGTCAGAGTTTCTGGATCTGGATTTCATGTTTTCCCAGCCATGCCTCCTAGATAACCAGTTTGTCTTTACCTGTGGCATGTGGGGGGAAAATGCCAGAAGACACAAGTTCTCCATTTAGAGAGCTTTTTCTATTGGAAGAGGAGTTAATGACTCACTCATCTTCCTCCTAGATGTTCCCATAGCTTTTGGTTTAAGATCATGTAGGCATATTTCACGCCTGCCTCATTTTGTAGTAATTGTAGTGCTTATCTCTTTCCCCTTCTACAATTTTAAAGTCCATGTGAATGAGCATCTCTCTGGGCCTGCCAAAGTCCTTGGGAGCACAGTAGGTTTTTGTTGAATTGAATGGTACTCAGTACAGCCAGTTACATGAGCATTTTTCATCGTTTAAAAAAAAAAAGAAAAAAGCATAGCACTCTAAAAACTATGCATTGGCTCTTACTTAGTTTAATTGACATTTCCAGCTACATTCAGTGGATTTTGCCCTTCCTTGATTTCTTTCCTGGTGGGCTTCCTTAGCAGTAGCAGGGATTGTTCTGACCCTCTGAGAGTTTACACCCTTTTATATAAACGTGGCTAGAAAAGCATGAGCTGTAGCGTATGTGCCAGTTCTTTCTTTTCATTGGCGGCAATGCTTGAGCCAGTCACCTTCGTCAGTTTATCTAATGCAGCCAATGTTAGTATTTTAGTATTTCCTCTATTTTCCAGTGCATTTTTAAACCATTGGAAGTAATAGTGCACATGTCATTTTGTAACTTGTTTTCTCTTTATAATAGTACCCTATGAGTAATTTTCCTTTACCACATAATATCCATAGCATAGTATGTTTTTTAAACAATTTGTTTCTCATTGTAAAAGGAGTATGCGCCCACTGAAGAAAATGTGATAGTGCATGGTTTTAATGCGTGGGGTATTTTGAAACACAGGGGGTCAAGTAGGGTATTATTTTGTTGTTGCTACGTGGAGAAATTTTGGTTGCTTCTTTTTAAAAAACTGAAAATCTAAAATCTTGGGTGTCTTTCAGTCTCAGTTTGAGCTAGTCATGAAGGTCTTCAATCATACTTTTTCTAATATAGTTTTTTTAAGGTAGCTGGTTATGGAGAAAAGAACAAAAACGTCTTTGAGGAAATGAACCACTTCGCGTCGAACTGATAGTTTACTCTGCTTTATACACTTGGTGCATTTATTTTTTTCACTTCTTTTTAGCATACTTTGCCCACCAGATCTTACTTTGTGGCCCTTTGGACACTAATATGGAAAATTTTTAGAGGGAAACTGTTCTACCACTGAATCATTGTATCTTATTTGATAAATCCTGGACCTCAGTTTCCTCAGTTGTAAATGAACATAAGCCATTTCATCCCTGAAATCTTAAAATTCTAGAAAACTTAGGACCTCATCATTGCTTTATACTGTTTCACCTGCTTCCTCTGTGTATGTGCTTTGGTAGGGGATAGGTTATGCTCCTGAGAATAGCACAGATCTCTTCCTTTTGGCTCTCTCTTGTTCTTGGTTCACCTGTCAAAAGTCATGGGCATGGGGGTAACTCAAATGCCAAGGTAGAACGTTAACATTGAGTGTAAAAGTGGAATTACTTATTTTTTCAGCCACTAATTGTTGAGCCTTACTATATGCTAGGTCCTGAGGTGGGCGATGGGGATACTGTGGTGAACGAGAGGCACACCATCTTAAAGCTGATCTTGTAGTGGGGAGTACAGATGTAAGGGGAACACAGTGCTGTAGCCTGATAGCAGCTGTAGTGGGGAAGCATGGATGCTGTGGAAGCACTTAGGAAGCCACATGTTTAGCCTTGGAATAGAGGAAACAGCTTCTGGAAGGAACAGTTGAAGCTGAGAGCTGAAAGACGAGTAAGAGTTGGTCAGATGCAGCCGGGGAAGCTGGGG